AACTTAATGGGTTACTATCTGAAATGCAGAAAATGTGAGTTAATTGGAACTTGCAATGAGAAATTATATAATAAACCACATGTGCGCGGTGGTTACTTCAGGATGCTGAGTAGTCGCAATTTAGTTTGCCAAGGCGACTATTTGTTATGATCACAAAGGCGGGCTAAATTACTATTTAAGCAATAGTACAATGGGTCATTCCAGAAAAGTTAAGTCCCCTACCCCAGTCGGGGTGTCCTAATACACTAACTATTATTAGAAACAATTTTTTTGTTCCCTCCCCCTAAGGACAGCAGAAATTTCCTCTGTGGGGGAAGTGTGGATCTTTTCTGGAATGACCCAATGATGAAGGTTTATTAATTTTTTACAATTTTTAGTATAAGCAATTTACTCACAATCTGATGGGAATGCTGTTTTCATTAAGTTGGTTGGTTCTATAAGCCAATACAGCTTAAATGGAGGAATTTTGTTCCCAACTGATGAATCAGCGCATTTGTTTATATTTCCAAGCTAAGCCAATCAGAATACGTAAAACTCCTTCATCACATGAAATTTATCAACATGCATATGGGTTCACTTGAAAGCTTTGCTGCAAGTGGATTTTTTATTTTTCTGTTTGAAATTTAGACATGTTGACTTGTTCTTCAAAGACTTCTCTTGAAACTTCTCGTGCAGACTTTTTATTTATTGCATTGATGCGAAGATATGGGTCTTCAAACTTTGCCATGCGCAAGCTTAAAATAACTTAATGCCAGTCCTGGAATTTGTGGGCTCCGGATGAATTAGCTTGTTAAAAGTCTTTCTAATTGAATTTTAAAACTTTTATTTTTTAAAAAATACTTTTATTTTCATATTTTTTTACCTTTAACTTATTAATATCCTGTGTAACAAGTAAACAGGACATTCCGGACCAGAATAAGTTCATGATGTCCATAGCATAGCTCATAGTACATGGCAATCAACATGACTGATAGAAATACAGGCAATTTGTTTTTAATTTTGTTGGTATAAATAGGCTAAAGAAACTCAACAACTGTTTGGACTATGGACGTATTTGGTTGATTGGCTCAATAACTGTTTTTTTAGTTGGTTGGCCTCAGGATAATGTGTCTACTTTGTATTGCAGCCTGTGGACATAAATATCTTTGTCACAATTTGTGCCTGATTATATGACCTGGCTTCGTGGGAGACAACATTTGCCAATATTGCTGAATGATATACAATCCTGCTAATATCCTGCCTATAAGTGCCAGACATGCGCTGCCACAATCCCGGCTAGGCAAGGCAAGAAATTCGTCATATATGTACTCATCCCGGACATGCAACATGAACTTCACTTCAAGCTTGTATCCTGCCTAGCCTAGATAATACTGTATAAACAATCCCTTAACCAATCCTGGAGCTATAATTAGACCATAATCTTATGATCTGCCCATGTGTCTAGTTAATACATTAAGTTGCATTGCGCCTCAATACACCCTACTTTATAATTTTACTCTGTCTAACGCCTGACGATTTTACTTGTCAAGGGGAGATTGTTGGCGCTCAATGAGTTAATACCATAATGGGCCAGGAAAGCTTGCCAGGCAGGAAACAATGCTACAGTATCTGGTTGAGTCTACAAGATTAAGTTGATTAAGATTAAGTTCTACAAGATTAAGTTGGCCAGCCAACTCACTCGGCTGAAAATCATGTTAAATAGTAATACACAATTTGGCCAAAGCAAGTAAGAAATTAATTAATCTATATCTTCTAAATCTGTTGCCATTTACAAATTAACTAGCATTTCACACAAATGTCTTGCTAACACCTGCCAGGTTAGCCTGACCTCCGTGAGACAAATGAACTAACCCTGAAAAGAAATGAACGTTTGCTGTGCTGGCATGGCCAATATTCACAACCTTAAAGGGGAAGGCTTTTTTTCAGATGGTGGAGGGGGCTTATTCGTGAGGTCACTGGGGACTTAATAATAGGGGGTGTACATTATTATACTGGAAAATACATGCATACAGAAACCCTCGCCTTGCTGACAAAACCATTGCATTTTCCGAACATGAAGTATCTAAAGTAGTTGTCATGGTAACACGATAATTTTTTAAGAATATTCTTACAAATGAAAAATTGCCTAAAAATATCACTTTTAATTACAAAATTATCAATTTGCCAACATTTATATGTTAGGTATGTTATTATACGTAATATAAGCCTCAATTTAAGGTAAAATTCAACCACAAACGCTTCGCAAAACGTTTTAAAGTGTTCTTTATAAAACTAAACTGCTTTAATTAAATGGCTTTATCGATAAACTTTGAGTTTGCAATAAAATGATTTCAAATTCTCGCATGCAAATAACTTTGCTTTCTTTTTTATTTATTTAAAAAATTCAATATAATAAAAAAGGGAATCAATATTAAAGATACACTGAAATTATATGCTGTCTTGTTCAGTTGTTTCATGGCGCAAAGGCTGTCGGGTTTTATTAAAAGCAATTATAAAATCAATATTTAAAACAAACTTACCTTCGTTAAAGAATGAGTCTCAGAGTAATGCTTTGCGCGCTTTTTGTTTATGTTTACATACAGGAAATTTCCGTGTCACGTGCACATTCCCTTTACAATTTGCATAATATTGCGTCTTTTGCGTTAATTTTTCACAAATTTTGGTCCTTTCGAAGAACATTTTAGTATTTTTTTGATAAAATGTCTGAATCAGAGTCTGATCAAGATTTGAATGTGTCGCAGTACGATGTAGAGGACGATCTAAATGCGTACGGATCACCGACATACACGGCGCAAGAAGCACAGCTGTTGGTGAATCTAGTTTAATACAAGCTGACCAGGGTAGAACGCAAGTGAGTATAAATACCTTTAGTTTCCTCGTTGTTTGATTTATGATAAATAGTTTGATAGAGTAAATGTTCCGTATATTTATTGATCAAGTTCGTTTCATTTCAGTTTTATAGTTGCAAAAATACGTGTAGCAAACGCAGCGGTAGAAAGCAACGAGGATGCCCATGCCGAGACGCTCAAATGTGCGGATGGCTATTCATGTGGATGGAACGAAGAAGGCATGTTGTAAGAATAAGCTTCAACAGGGAACAGTAGCATGCAGCTACAAATGCCGGAAGAAATGGTTTTGAGCGTCATCAGATCGCGGTAGAGGAAGCGAAACACCACATCACGGTTAGTTTGCATTTATTTGTGTTGACAGTATATAGAATTCATAGTGACATTCATTTTGGTTTCGGAAATATTTTACACTTTCAGGCAAATGTCTAGTTACCGTTAATATCGCCTTTCCTCGTCACCAAAAACGCATTTTAGCACTTATTATAGACAGTCCGGTTTGGCAATAAAGTCGCATGTTTGTATTAATACGTTTCCTGTTGTATCAGCTAGTTATCTGAAGAAGCTCTTGCTTTGATTATGTGATACTGATACACGAAACTTGGAAAGCATTATTTACAGGAACTTAATATTTTTAGGAATTCATTGGCAGTTGGCGAAACGGATACGGCCTTGATTATGCCAAAAATCTGGTGCAATTTGGCGGAACCCCCCAGTTCTTCCAGGGACAATGGCCATCATGGTGTACATATGGGGCATGTCAACCGATGTCAACTGGAGGAAAATAAGTGTTGCAAAAAAATCACATGTGTCACATCATTTGTGACATTCCAAAACACATGCACAGACCGGGATGTATTGGTCATGCTATCCGAGCGAGGTGTGATATCAGGGCAGAAGAGCCAGACTATTCAACAAAGAGCTTTAGAAAGGCAGCATATGGCCAGTACATTTTATGGCGGTATAGGAAATTAGGAAGAGGGAACTGAAAGGTGTGCCTATCGTGTGTTGTGCTGGCATTAAGACACCTCTACCTGGCGAATGATGGCGTCTACATTGGGATTTAAGAGAGCATGATGTAGTTTAAATTATCCATACCATTACGTATCCAAAATTTACAACTAAAATGATTCTTATAATGATATTATCATAAAGTTTTTGTAATATTTGCAAACATTTTTTGCGGGTGCTCCATTTCGCCCCCTTTTGAAATATGTCCCCTCTCTAATAGGCTCCTTTTCAGGAGAAATGTACAACTGTGAGTTTACCCCAGTCTAGTAAACCCAACCCCATTTCATTACAAAGAAACACACGTACATTGATTAGATTAATTACTAATTTCGCATTTACCAAATTTTGTGCTTTATCAAACCCCCGTCCCCCATCCTTCAAAGTTAGCATCTTATTCTCTATTTACATATATTTTGTTGTATTTGGCGACATAGTTTTCTGTTTAATTCTATAAATATATTCTGTAATGTGATTTAATTTTTTTTTATACTTTGTTTTGACGAAATCCATCTGATTGGTTTATTTTTTGTCATGTGATCGCTTTTATATTCTTAGTATAAAAGCTCATGTAATTTTCCCGACCCCCGCTAGTAACTCCAGACGAGGAGCCTTCGCTCGAAACATCGAAATTCTCCTTATATTGTGATATAAGTTCGAAATTCTCCTTAATGTTGCTTCAGGATCATACTCTTCTGCAAATCTATAAAACAGACAATATTTGAACATCTAACAAACAAATAGTTGAAAAGAGTACTGTACATGATACCAAATGGAGAGGTTTTCTTTGTTACTATAAATATGGGAATGGGTCATGTTCAAAATCAGTACAGTAGAAACTAGGAAGTGGATGTCAATGAAGATGTTACAAGTGATCTGATAGTTCTCTCTTACCCTTGAACATCATAAATGCACTGGTCATCTTCAGATTCACTCTTACATTCACTTGAATCACAGGAACTATTAATAAAAAGTCTAGAAGTAAATAAATATTTGGAAAAAGGAAATTTTTAGAATCCAGTAGAGGATAGGAAATGAAGAATCTTTTTTGGATAATAAAATGTACTAGAACATCCCAAAAGGGGAATGGGAAAGTGTTGGGAAGTGTGGATTTTTATCGGATGGCTCATTGCATACTATTTGATTTGCCATCAAAACTCAAAAGATGCTGCTACTTATTAAGACACTAAATTGTGAAAACCATTAATAATCTCAAATGATGGTTCTTCATGGTATAATCCAAATTTAGGATTGACAGATATGGAAATACTCTCAATTCTGCTAATGTCAACATTAGCAGATGTAGGTGCAACATCCATGCCTCTGTTAGGGAAATTAAATTAAATTAACCCTGATTTCCAGTAAACCTGGTTTCATTTTGGTTGTAGCTGTCATAACAGGAGCACGTCCAACTATGTGAAATAGCCAAAACGAGCCAAACGACAGGCATTCGTTGATGACATATGTTATTTTGATTGAGAAATATTGATGTTGAGGATATATATGTAATAGCATGTGAATTTAATAAGAAAGAACAAAATAGATAAGATATACCAGTTGCTATATAACTGAAGACTTTGTATGGAAGCCGGCCTGGGCCGCTGGCTCTCTTAGTCAGGAGACAGCCTGGTAAGGGAGATCTCACTGTGTAGTTATTTTTATAGTAAAAATTACCATTTGAAAGAGGTGAGATGTCACTTACCAGAATAAAGATTTCTCCATCCAAACGCAAACAAATGGGCTGGCCCAGTTGCAGGACGAAAGTTCAAAGATTCCGATGCAAGCTATTTTTAACAACTGTCAAAACAATGTCAAAACAACAAATTTTCCTGGCGAGCAGTTATGAAAGTTTCTCAGTTTCTCAGATACATTCATCCTGCTCACCAGGCCGGCCAGCCCGGCTTCCATGTAAACAGCCTCTTATATTCGCTTACTTAAGAACACATTATGTTAGGCAACAAGGCACTACTATTAAAGCATTTAAACATATATAAAGGATAATATCTACTGTATTTCTTACGTTCTATTGTTTTCAAAGGGGTGACAAACACAAATTTCGGTCCGGTTTGCCATTTATACTAACAGGTGTTGAAGACAGAACATTTGGCAAGGGTCGATCTAAAGTGTAATATACAAAATATATGATCTTATGGGACGTAGATAACGAATCATTTTAAAATATAAAGAAATGTATTGCATTGATAACAAATATGTAGTATTTACCATCGCGCCTAGAGATTCCATTGATTGCAAAGGCTCGTCTTCGCCAAAATTTAGAAGCAAGTGCCGTGCAAAATCACGATGTGTCTTCGTCGAGATCAAATAGAATCTTTTCTGGTAATCCACATCTCATGTACGTCCTTCTTTAATTTTATACGCACAAATCCATTCTCATTTCTTGGCCTTCCACGCTTTGGCGGCGATGCACCAGTCGAAGACACCGTCACACTATGGACTTCAATTTGTCGTTTATTGCAAATAAATATGAAATGCTTAACAGCAGGTCAAGCCATATATTCACAGCCCATAAATTCAGGATAATGAATAATTTATGATGAAAGTTGTTCGGATATTCGAGGATTTAGTCGCACAACTCCTAATATAGGCCTACGAAAGCCGCCATTTTCCGGGCACCCTAAAATGGCCGACAAGCTGCAACCAAGCGCGCAAAGCATTACTCTGAGACTCATTCTTTAACTTCATATATGATGAAGCCTTACCCCCAAACTGGGTTGACTGAGGAGAAACGAATCCTAACCTAATTACAGACTTTCAAGGTGTCATCGCATATCTGAAAATGCTTTTGGAATTCTTGGAAATCGATGGAGAGTTTTTAGATCAAGAATTGCTTTATCTCCTGAAAAAGTTAGCATCCTTGTTCTTGGTGCTATTACCTTGCACAATTATTTGCGAAGTAATTCTACTGCAGGTAAGATTTACATGCCAGAAGATCTTTTTGATCATGAAGATCCTGCAGTCACAGGTAAATTTATTCAGGGAAACTGGCACAGTGATGAAGAATGCATCTATTGGCAGGACTTACCTCCTTGTACTGCCCATAATTCCACATTCCAAGCAAAGGAAATTAGAAAAGAATTTACCGAATATTTCATGATGGAAGGTGCTCTATCATGGCAATGAAGGAGTGCCAATATTACATGATGATATTGATTGTATTTAATTACTGTACTTATTTACAACATAGACCATTTGTATTGAACTATTTTCAACAGAAATCTAATCCCGTTGTTGAACCAAACACTGATTCTATTTGTATTTGTATTTTGTATTTAAAAAAGAACCTCTGTTAGCTAACGCTAGTTTACACGAGGTCTTAAAAATAGGATTACCCTACAAGATAAAAAGTCTATAAATCTAGGTATTCTTAAAAATTACTAAAATACGGTAAAAGTTCAAATAGTTAATAATAATTATATGAACCAGTCTAGCTGTTTAAGAACAGCAGACTTAAACATGGATTTGGAAGATATGATTTTTATAGTATAGTCTAAATTGTTCCATAGACGGATAGCTCTAGTCCTAAAAGCCCGAGCTAAAAAGGTTTTCTTCTTTAACATAGGTTTCTCTAACAACATATTATCACTTCGACACCTCGACGAAAATCTAGTATTGTGTTCATGAGTAATTTCAAATGGTTTAAAATTCACGTAAATTGCATTTGGTTCACCAGAATAAAGTACATTATGCAATGCCATTAAGGTTCTGACATGAATCCTTTGTCTCACTGTTAACCAACCTATTTCATCATGGAGATTTTCCCTATATATTTCATCAACCTTATATCCTAGGATCAATCTGGCGGCCTTGTTCTGAAGTTTTTGTAAATTATTAATCGACTCTTGATTTTGCGCAGATCCCCAAACCGTACAATAATAGTTCAATTTTGACAGTATGAGTGCCTCAGCGATAATCTTTAAAACTTTTGATGGAATATATCTGCTGAACTTGAACAGTAAGCCAAGAGCTTTGGAACAATCTTTAAGTAGATCTTCACAATGCTGCTTCCAACTTAAGTTCTCGTCAACCTGGACGCCAAGGAGTTTTACACATGGAAGTTGTTCAATGATTTTATCTTTAATGGATAAGTTAAGCGATGGAGCTGATTTAATCTTCTGCCGACTTCCAACAAGGATACTATTTGTTTTATCAGCATTAAGAACAAGACGATTCTTCGTGACCCATAATTCAACTTTAGATAAGTCAAGTTGAAGTTTATCTGATATGAGTCTGGCGTTATGTCCAGATTGGAACGGAGTGATATCATCGGCGCACAAGGTGATATCAGCTGTAGTTAAGACTGTTGGTAAATCATTAACAAACAAACTGAAGAGCAGTGGGCCGAGACAACTACCCTGTGGCACCCCACAAGTCATCTCGATCGGATTAGAAAAAGCACCATTGATATATACGGTTGAGGTTCTCCCACTTAAATATGACTTGATCCAGTTAATCGCATTATCTGAAAAGTTATAACATTTCAATTTCAGAAGCAGAAAATTATGATCAATCAGGTCGAAAGCAGCTGAAAAGTCCAACAAAGCAGCACCAGTAAGCATACCATTCTCCATGTTGTCAAGGCAACTGTCAGTCAGATGTAAAAGTGCTGATTCAGTGCTATGATTGATTCTATATGCATGTTGATTCTTGAGCATTAAGTTATGTTCGGAGACATAGTGACAGATTTGTTTATGCGCAAATTTTTCGTGCAGTTTACTTAATACATTTAGAAGACTGATGGGTCGACTATTTATATCTTCAAAAGGCTGTTTCTTATCTTTGGGAATCGGGTGTAGTTTAGCTACTTTCCATTGATCAGGAAATATTGACTTCGCATATGAACAGTTAAAAATGTATCTAATAGGTTCCGCTATGATATTCGACGCAATTCTAAGTAAAAAATTATCAATGCCGTCTACGCCTGTCACTTTAGTATCTGGAAGCTTAGCAAGGCAGCTGTGAACTTCTAAAAAGACTTAAAGATGAGAACTCAAACCGACAGTTTTTTCCAGTCATTATTTCGGTAATTGATTTAGTTACATACTCCGTATCTATCGGGTTGGACATCTCAAATCTATATTTCTTTATTTTTTCATTAAAGAACTTTGCGAAATGATTGGCAATATCTTTAGGTTTTGTGTAAATTTCACCATTACTCTCTGCATAAGTTGGTATTGGACAATTTGAGCGTCCTAACAGATTGTTTATTGTTTTCCACATTGACTTTGGATCTTTTTTGGTATTATTAATAACTTCAAGAAAATATGCTCTTTTGCTTTCTCTGTTGACCTTAACGACATGGTTTCTCAATTTCCATTTCTATTACTGTTTTAGTTTTATTATATATAAAATGTAGTGTCTTTATATGCAGTGTATGGTGTGCAAGAGGCATTGCCTAATTGTGTTAGCATAATATATTAATTAACCAACTATTTGGAGCAAACTTATTTCAACAAATTAACAGTAACATAAAAGTCTTTATTGGCAAACAGCAAGGGTTTTATATTAATGCTTTTGCTACTGGTGAGCATGCAGTAGCTAAACAAAAAGTGTAGAGCAGGCAATAAAAATATAAAATTAATCTTGGAATTAATAAATGCACCACTAATATTTGGGTTGATCTCAATATACATTTGTATGTAAATTCAAGATTGTTTATCATTTATTTTAATTAGGCAAGATTTCTTTGCAGCAAGTTGCTATACACTAGTTGCATGCTGGCTCCTATTCAGCAAGGGGCACTTTAAATTAGGCACCCCTAATTTAAAAAAAACATATTGTTGAAGGGAGGTGCGGGTGGGAAGGGTGGGCGTGGTTGAACCATCAAAACAATTTTTGGGTCAATTTTTAGTTACAATTGACTTTTTTTATTTCATGCTTTTTTGGCACCCCCTATACACTTTGGCACCCCACAAAAAATGGCTTGCTGTGGGCCATGACCCCCCCCCCCCCACTGGTTTACACACTGTTACAGTATCATGTTTTCATAATCTTTTATCAGTTTATGTGCATCCACATAAGCCTTTTGTGCCTAATTTGTGGTTTATATCTTTAAAAAATCTTCATGTTGCAATTAAGCTAGAAAGGCTTAATTTTTATGTACACAAAAGAATATTTAATAATTTACAACCATGAAAGAGGTCCGTTGTTTGTTGAGGTCACTACACTCTATAATTTGAAAAACCCACCACCAATCATATTGCTCTGTATTTGTGGTGTTGATTTCAGAGCAATAAGATCTTTTGAACTATGTGCAGGTGATTCTGATGAGTAGTGACCTTGGCTTTGTGCAGGAGGACTATTTAGAGACATGAACATTTTTCAAGGAGAGGGAGATGTGTTGTGCGGCATTTCTGGAGAGTTGGAATGGCTTCGGAATCCTGGTGAGATACTTCTTTCAGAGGACTGTGAAGAGGGGGAACTACTTCTGAACACCTGTTGTGGAAAACTGTGAAACATGGGTAATTGATTGTTTGGGTAGACTGTTTGCATTTGCATGAAACCTTGTTGCCATCCTTGCTGGAAACCAGCCTGAAACCCCTCAGCTCTTGCCAGGATTGCTGTAAGTTGCTGGTACCATGACTGCCCACTTTGCCTGACAACTTTTCTGTTAGTGCTTCCTATAACTTGACTTTTGCTTCTTCTACATTCTCTTTGGAACATTTAGTTGACTTTTTTTTGTTTTAGGTGCAACATGTTTTAATGTTGATGTAGCTGTGTCGGAATTTGATCGATCACATGAAAACAACATGCATTTGTAAAATGGCCATGTGGACTTATATACCTTTGACCCACCTGTCCCTGCCTTCTTACTGCCTTCATGCCTTGCACGTTCCCTTTCATAGATTGTTACCAGGTTGTGCCACTCTTGTTGTATTTTATCAATGCTGTATTTATAGTTCAACTTTTCTGCCAAAGTTTCTAAGTTAACGCTTTTGAGGTCTCGATTCCTATAATACTCTAGCTTGGAGTCCCACAGCATTGGATGTTGTTTATAAAATGTTACCAAAGCCTCCTTTTCATCATCAGTCATGGCCATTTGTTTAGCTTCCTTTTCTTTTTCTATGTCTAGTCAAAACAGATATAGAAAAAGAACTTAACATTCTCATTAAAAATACTGAACATGAACAAACTTATTTGAAGACTGTGCAGCTGTGAAAGAACTCTTTTAAATTCCTCTTCTTATTTTCTATTCTACTTTAATTCATATTCCACCTTTATTGCTGCATATTAACATTGCAATGTTTCAATACAAGTTGCAGACTTTTTAAACATGTTGCATCACAAAAATCCTTACTATTTGTTGCATTAATTAACAATAAGTAAAATACTTCGTGCTTATGCAGTTGAAAAACTTAAATATTAATTTGTATTTATTTCAACAAAGCCTGCCATACAGGTGTATAAAAAAAACTGC